CTCAGCAAGAGAGCAAAATTATTTCCCCAAATCTTCGAAAAATAAACAAACTCAGACCTCTTACTAGTGATAACCTAATTACCTTTTGGTCAGTACAACATACCTGGCTTTTATGCTGCGTTATGTTCTTGAGAAACTCCGATTCACGACTTCCACTCAGTCCCACTTCCACATAATAGATCCCAACTGAGACACCACCACTGGAAGATCTCATAGTTTTCCTCGCATTCAGCAGGCCCACAACATCTTCGTAGTATTCGTGAGAGCCCTCTGACGTAGCTTCGGCCTGTAACAGGTTAAACCTTATACCAAAATGTCTTCCTTCAAACAGCCCATTGATGCATCATAGAAATTAAATCGCAGCATTACCACAAACTGGTAGGTATGGTAGTTGTAAGGTTTTCTGTAGTTCTTCTCATCTGCGTTGTAGTGCAAGTTCTCACAGAACGCGTCATAGGTGAATTTCCTCCATTCGCCGTTATAGATGTATTCACACCTTCCTCCAAAGTACCTCAGGTCGAGCACATGATCCACAAAGTCTCCAGTCAGGACGTTGTAGCTAGGCAAAGTGGAATAATTCAAATTAGTGATTATCAAGTGAAAGTAATGAAGATTTAATGAAAGCGTTGTGATATGAATATCATTTAGCAGTACGCTTCTGTGAAATTATCATATTTGACTGAATGCATTTCACAATAAAAATCTGAATTTGGCTTGATATCACAGTAACAGCCTGTGAGGTGATAATAATGTAATTTATTGTGAAATATTAAAGTTACTCATTGTAACTTCCTGGAAATGATTTGCAGTGCAGTAACAGCTCTGCAGTATTCACCCCTGAGTGCCACGTTCAGCTCCAGGGATCGGCATTGTGGTGGAACACTTGTCGTCCCTCTGGTTGATTTCTGCACAGTCATCTTCATCAGAAAAGTCATCGCAGTCTGACTCTCCGTTACAGCGAAGGGACTGGCTGATGCAGCGTCCTGGATACACAGAGACAGATTTACATGTACTGCACATACACACGCACCAAGAGACAAAACATCTTCAGCTTAAAGAGTGTAAGTGGTCGTCGATGGGACTGGCCTGTTTCCTTGCAGGTGAAGCTATTGGCACAGTAATCTGCCACCAGACACTGTGTCGTTGCTGTTGGACATGCCAGCTTCTCCCACAGTGTCTCAATGCACTCTGTGCCGCCGAACTGTGAGGGCTTCTCCAAGTATCTGAAACGGACCTAAGACAGAGGTAAAAATTGGTTCTTAAAATCACCCAGTGTATCCATTCCCTTATACCAGGGGTGGGTAACCACCGGCTCCGAGGGCACATGTGGCTGTTTAGCCCCTCTCTGGTGGCTCCCTTAGGCTTTGAAAAACATGTTTGGAAATGGTATGTAACGATTATTTAAAAAAAAAATAATTTCTATCAATCATTGTTGAAGGCCTTAAGTGATTCTTACATTTTCCAGTTGTAAAAACATGTGGCTTATACACCAAATAAAAAAGATATTTTAACATTTCATCAACTAAAATGTGCATCATATGTCTACTGAATGGCGCCTTTTCCTCCACATTTTATCAAACCTCAAACGTGGTGGCTAGTCTTGAGTCTGTCTAGCCAGGCTAGCTATGGATTCCAAATCTAGCAAAGGATAGAATAGAGAGTTTAATAGTCCAAATCATAAATAGTCCACTGCAGTGTTGCCACCTTGTGGTAACTAAGAAAGGACGGCAGACACTAATTCAACTGGGCTGGACAGCCTCAAAAAAATTTCACAGGCTGAGATCAATGCAAAAAAGATTTCTATTTCTTTACGACATCTGTGCACAAAAAAAGGGTGCTCAAAGTGCAAAAAATAATTTAAAAAAGTAAATAAAAACAGCTGCAAATGTTTCAGAGCTCAAGGACTGAAACGTTTGCTGCTGTTTAATTTACTTTTTAAATTTTTTTTGTTTTGCACTTGGAGCACCTTTTTTTGTGCACAGATGTCCTAATTAAATTGAATTTTGTTTTGGCATTGATCTCAGCCTGTGAACCTTATTTGTGACTGTCCAGCCCAGTTGCATTGGTGTGCAGGTATCTCCTCGGTCATCCTTTCTTGATCGTCCATTGTACTGATGCACCCAAGATTAATTTTTTTGTTGCCATAAGTAGATGCAGCCCTTACACCTTGTGGTAAAAAAAACACTGGTAACGTTGACTGGCTAATTTAGACTTGAACGGTTGTGGTACCTTCATTATACGGTTCAAATATGTTTTGCAGCTTCAGAAAGATTTTATTTCCCCCCAAAATGTCTCTTTTGATAATAAAGGTTGCCGACCCCTGCTATAGAAGTGGTATATTATAAAATAATTCAAATAATATTCAGAGCAAAAACAAATTTGCTCCCAGATTGTGTACAATTTGTTTAGTACAGGGGATCAAATACAATTTTAGAGATATTTAAAAGTACCATACAAAAGCTAAAAAAAAAAGAATATTAAAAGGAGATGTATGTATTCGATTTTGTGTTGCGTATTTCATTTCTGGTTTTCAAAAGAGTTGTTTACAAAGGTTTTTTTGAGGCTTACAAGTCTGAATGATTCATTTTTTTTATTCTTGGAGTGCAGCTTGAATTGATGAGTATGTAGGACGGGCAGATATAAGCTTTTTCTTCTGCCTGAGCCTTTTCAGTCACCACTAAACACACAGTCTGTTGATTTTGTTTATTCTGTTTGTATTGTTTATACTCATTGTATTCTGTGTGATGACAACTACTAAGTTGATCACATGGCATCATGTTCACAATGGTGCAGCTAAATTAATTTAAATTCAGTAAATGTAAATTCTACATATAGTAGATGTACAGTAACATTTGATTTATAGAGGAAAGAAGTGGTTTCACAGATCCTAAATGAGTGGAGTATTTTGGAGCCAGTATGTCAGGATCACTGTAAAACCAAGGCCCACCTGTATTGTATTGGAACAGAAGAGCTGATCAGATAATCATTGGTCCCTTTGGAGCTATTGATCATCTCATGCATGTGACGATCAGAGCTACAAGATAGTAAACTGTCTCAACTACAGTGTTCTTGAAGCAAACTTGAATTTTACTGTTGCCAGGTAATGCACAAGACACCCATATCATTAAACTGTAAAGGTAATTTTCATTTAACACCTATACATTACTGATACATGCAATTCATTGAGAAAAACACAGTTACCTTTTGGTCTGTGCAGGAGTTACAAGGAGTCCAAGATGACCATCTCCCCAGCTTACAGTTGATGGGTATAGGCCTGTTTACAGCTCTGGTTCTCCTCATTCTAAGGACCCCCAAAAACATCATTATCTCCTCAGTTTCACTTCTAATGCCCATGGTGCATGAGTATATATGAGAGCTATATATATGAGAAGAATACCAAACCTGTTTGCAGCAGCTGTCCATGGCCTCCTGGATGCGTTCACAACAGGACTGAAATTGACAGACAGATGCAGCGTGCATAAAGTCAGCAGTAACTTAATAAATATCTTCATACTGAAAATGAGTAGCTAGTCCCTAAGATTAAAATGCCACATCACAAAACAGCCACTGTGTTGTGACTTGAACCGCTGCAGTCTTGACCAACCAGCACAGTGAATGATTGATCAAGAGTAAACACACGCTCTTACAACAGCTGGGAAAGTTTTTTTTAATGATCTATAACCCCCCATTTCTCATCTTCACCCCCGCAAACAGTCCAGCCAGAACATGTTGTCGTAACAATATGTGCTAACACTGTTCATGTAACAACAGTAAGAAAACAAAGTACTGCAAACACGTTAAACTGAAACATGAACGTTTTCCTTCTAACAATATCTACAGTGAGATGATACACTGACTATTCTTTTCTCTGATTATTCTTTTTTATTTTATATAATTCTTGCAGCAATAACAGTTATAGAAATAGTTATAAGAATCAGTCATACCAAAGAAAGGTAATAATAATGATAATAATGATAATAAATTAATAAAAAATAAGAACAATTTAGTGACATTCTTCTTTAGACACACATCTCTGAGTATGTTACAGATTTAAGAGACTAAAAAAAAAATTAAGTTAAATTAAAAACAACTTAAAGACAATAATACCTATCCACATGCAAAGTTGCTTCTGCTCCCTTTGATTTTTTATGCTCACTCTCTTTATTAAAAACAACTCCATATACAAACGGTAGCCTACACAGATACCCTACTTGGACATTAAAAATCAAGGACATAATAATAATTATGATAACAAATTGCTTCAACTGTCAACTGGGGAAATACTGGGTTTGTTATTAATAATATTATTAATAACATTTACTGTTTTGCTGTTTTGTTTTGTTATTAGTAAAGATGGCGCAATATTGAAATTCATGAACGAAGTGCAGGACAGTCAGCTTGATTGTTGACCATTTTATCTTATAAACGTGAAATTTTCCTCAAAAATAAAAAAAAGTTGGCAGCTATAATATATAACATGTTTTTTTTCAATCTTATCATGATTATATA